TGCTATATTTCATTTTAAAGATGTAGACAGCAAAAATATTCACATTTAAACTTATGGAAATTCTTTTTCTATTCAGGAGAACCAATTATAATAACAGGGAAAACTTAACAGAGGAAATTCTCCTTGGGAGACTTATTCAACTGAGGATTTCTCTTTAGAATATGGTTTATAAAAGTAATTAAAGAGGTCTCAGGTGTGTTTTTCATCTGTAGGTTACCTCTTTTGATCTGAATTACAGTTCAGGGGTAAAGTGAACATTTTTGGCAAAATAAATTAATAGTGCCAATTCAATTTCTTGTAAACAAATGTCTACATCACAAACTGTAATTATTGCATGATTCCTGGCACTATCAGTGAAGTGACCAAGGATTAAATGATCATTTATGCCCTTATCTTTAGATATGGTACCTTCATAAGAAGGCCTAATGTTTTAAACTAGCATGAGGATGTTAAATCTGGCCATAGGAGACTCCATCTGTTTATGTGTTGTATTACTCTCCATCCCAAATCACTTTTATCAGCTATTTTACCATCAAAATGAGAAAGCAGTCAAAGGAAATAATTATGTTTAATGGTTATCAGTTGTGCTATAAAATCATGAGAATCATAGTGGGAGTATTTTGTGAGCAAACTTCATATTACCATTCCTAACACATGCACACAGGTACACACACACATTCAGTATGCAAAATGAAAGTGTTACTCTTTTACTTTTCCAGTATTTCTCGGGTATGGTTCCCAGACCCAGGGAGACCCTTACACATGCTTAGGATAGGGTACCATTGCTTTAAGCAAACACAAATTCCTGCTCCTCATAGCAAACAAGAAACTTATTCCACCAAGAGGGAAAAATATAAATAAAAGATTAATCTACTTTTTGGAAAATACATGACAACTCCCCCCATCCCCCCAATTGGACTTGTCCCTCCCGTATGGTACACTCACAGGCTACTTGTATCAATTAGTGTTTTCAAGGAAAGAGAATTATGGTCATCACTCAGTATCTGAGGGGGATTCGTTCCAGGACCCCTGCAGATACCCAAACCCACAGATGCTCAAGTCCCTCATATAAAATAGCATAGTATTTCATATAACCTATGCACATTCTCCCATTTACTTTAAATCAGCTTTAGATTACTAATACCTAATACAATGTAAATGCTATGTACATAGTCATCATATTGTATTGTTTTCTTATCAGCATTTTAATTTTTTTTAGTTGTTTTTAAAAATTTTCAAATTTCAGTGGTTGGTTGAATCTGGGGATATGGACCCCATGGATACGGAAGACAGATTCTATAGTATATAAAACATAAAAACGGGAAAACCAAAATGTTATAACACATTCTAAAGCCAAGTACCTATGATTTGCAGCACTGCTTCTAAGTGACAGTGATAATCAAGAAATAAAAATTACAATTATTTCTCCTGGGAAAACTACTATTAGTACTATATACGGTCTGAAGATGAAAATTGTAAAGGCTGAGAAGGTAAAATTGTTCAGTCTGCATCTTATTTTTACTGGAGGACGCAGGGAGTGGGAGGGAGGCATGGAGAAAGCCATGGGAGAAGTAATCAGGAATTTGCAGTATTACGGACTGGGGAAGCAGTTCTGAATGCTTTGCTGCACGTTCCCAGAATTATGTGATGAAGCAAAGGTGTAGACAGTGGGAGTTCTTAATGCCCCAAAGTGATTATTTATTTTCATTTGCTGTCTTTTAAACAGCAAAGAGTGTTAACTGAATGATTCTGTGAAATGCAATGGAGTTCAGATACCTTACAGAATCATAAAAACAGAAATGGATGCTTTCTCTGTTTTACTCCCGGAGGGAAAGGGGGTGTTTTGGGCACTTTTCATGGCTGGGGGAACAGAATTTGTTAATCTTTTGGCAACAGAGAAATTTTAACTTCTGATTATTCCTAGCTGTGAAATTCCTACTCATCAGCAATTGAGTCCAAACTAGAACATTTTTAAAGGAGTGCTAAGATTCACCCATCAAATATGTGGTGTATTAATGACTAGATCAATGGCACTCCATAGCCTTTGTTCCCAGGGGCAACTTTGCTATAAGAAAGACAGCTGGTTAAGAATCATACATACCTTAGGAAGAATTTGATATGTATTTTCAAATGTAGTGAGTTAGGCAGAATACAAAGCAGAGTAACAAGAATAATGTGTTTATCTACTACCTATTTTCACATTTTACATGTGTATTTCTTATGTTCAATGTAAGTAAGAACTGCTGATATTATTACTGTGAGGGGAAATGTGTAAGGAACAGGTAGTATATATCACGACCAACACAAATGCATTGATGGAGATGGAAATCATGAGAGAGAAAGGTTAAATAGTCTTATTACAAGGGAAGAGGATAAGGTTTAAATGATTCAAAACTCAAACCAAAATTAATATACAGATATACTATCTTCCATTCAGTGCATGAGAGATTTGGATGTAAAAATTAAGTATCCTTACATTATGGTTTTCTTGAATACAATTTTCTCCTCAAAAATAATTTTTCACCTACTTCAGGAAATTTTAAAATCTGAAATAGCTATTTTTAATCTGGGCTCCAAGAAAGAAAAAGAAATAAGTACTTATGATTAATTGATTGCTACACATCGAAAAAGAACAAAATTTTACCTTTTTGGACCAAATAGGTTAGAAATAATGGGGCCCATGATGCCATTCATATTCTAGTATTACCCCCAAAATAAGGGCAAGTAAAATCAGGTTCATAATTCTTTGTGATAAGAAACAATACCTTCTCAGAAGGCAAATAAAAGAAATTCAAGATCAGTAACAATGGAGAAAAGAGTCAAAAAATGTTTGAAAATTCTAGCATTATAACATTACGCTTAATAATAAAAGGACTGTCAATTTTTGTACAATTGTCATAAAAGTGAAAGTTAAAAGTATTCTTGGTAAATTCGGATGTCTGTACAAAGTGTCATCTTCAGGTTACCTTGGCTTGAGGTAAAGACCTGTTAGTCTAAATTTTTCATGAAAGGTCTCTGCAGCTAGAGAGCACAAGGCTGCTTCCCCAGTGTGTATCCTAGGCTCCTGAACACTGTGTGATTAACTGTGACTCATTTTATTGTAGTTTAAATCTGCAACATAAATTTAATTCAGCTTCTTTTTTTCCCCATCAATATTTCTGCCCGACATCCCTGTTAAGTACAGGCAAAACATTTACTTTCAGAAGGAATAAATCATTATGAATTTGAGAGAAATAAGTCATCTGGGACAAGGAACTAGCAAATACAGTCATGCGTCGCTTAACTATGGGGACACATTCTGAGAAATGCATTGTTAGGTGATTTTGTTCTTGTGCCAACACCATATTTACACAAACCTTGATGGTATAGCCTACTACACACCTAGGCTACATGGTATAGCCTACTGCTCCTAGGCTACAAACCTGTACAGCCTGCAACTGTACTGAATACTGTAAGTATTTGTGTATCTAAAATATATCTAAACATAGAAAAGGTACAGTAAAAGTACAGTATTATAATCTTATGGGACCACCATTGTACATGTGGTCTGTGGTTGACCAAAATGTTGTTACAAGCTACATGACTGTACACTGCAAAATTTTCACTCTAGTGACCATAACCTTAAAGTAAAGAGAAGAATCCTCTTATGTGAGATTAAACGATGCTTTTTAAAGTCTCTGGAGTTTGGATGTATAGTTGGTGTTTATCAATGGTTATTTTTACCACTATTTTAACATAAACGATTGCCAAGTTAGTTATCTTTTAGAATCTAAAATTAAAGTCTTCATACTTTTATATTATGATTTTGGTGTTTGTATGTATAATTCAATACAGAAACCCAAAATATCTGGAAAGTGCCATAGAGCAAGGTGCTTTCATTAGGGAAGTAGATTTTTTTAAAAAGAAACATTTACTCACTCTTTTCTGAACACCCAGTTACACAATGTAGATTTAGCCTGCTGAAGTCAATGGCCAGGTGAAGCAAAGTTACTACAGATGAATAAAAAGCCCAGGAACAGAGCAGGGGCTCTGCTGCCAGTGAGAAGGTATGCACAGAGGGGACTGATACCAGTCAGTTCTGCTGCTAGCAAGCAAGAGACCTGGGTAGAAAAGCAGCACTCCAGAGGCCCCTAGCTATGGTAGTAACTCTTTTCTCCTTTGTGCTGAAAATCTTAATCATCTCAATGTATTTGCTTGCGATGTCTATGTGAATAAGTTCACAAGAAGTCTGAATAAAAATCAGATACCATTTCATATTAGTATGTTATTAAAAATTTACCTCTAGTATTCCTGCAAATACTAGAGGCAAATTTAAGCAAACAGTTTTGTTATCACTTCTGGGCTTTATCACATCAAAGAGAAAACATGTTGATAAAAAGATGACAACCCCTGTCACTTTATTGCTATGGTCTAAGTAATTTGAGCTAATTAATGATTTCTGTATCATCCAAGACAAACAATTCAAGAACTCCATTTAAAGCAGTTATTGCAGAAATATACTGTGTGTGGCCCCGGTTAAGCTTTTGTTGATTGAAGTGTTTTTCTCAAATAAAAGGTACAAAAATACTGTTCACTGAAGGTAACTGAGGAGTTGTTTGATTCGACATAAAGATGAAGACACACTCTCTTCTATTTTTGAGACACTACACTCCGTGATTCACAGGATAACTGGCATCAGACTCAATTTAATGAAAGCTCTCAAATAAGCGATTTTATTCCTATCCATGATTGCAGACATTTACAAAACCATAACATCTGAGTTCACCTTAAAAAATAACTTATATAAAGCAGTGATATACACAGCACAAAATAGTTCAGGGAGGGGGCAGGAGCAACTTTTAATAATTAAAATGTAAACGTGAAAAAAAGGATGGAATAAAAGTCCCTACTTATTTCTACTGAAGATGTCATGTGATAATATTTTACAATGTCCTGTGGGTCGATGTATGTATGTGTATATGTTCATATAGCATACACACATACAGTACATTCTCTTTCCCACACATATACATACACACATAATTATTTGCAGTTCGGTTTAGGGCAATTCTAATGTGCCGCTCCGTACAGTTGTTTGAATCACGGTTGGACCCGCTTTCTTCACAAAATAGGGGAGAGAGCAGGAAATAAAAAGGTTGGTTTGGTGTGACTGAGATTCCTTTGTTTAACTGTACACTGTGATGAATAATTTTCTTCCGTAGTAGTTCTGTGAAGGGCTGACTCACTGTGGTTTTCATGAGGAGACTTGGTAATGGATCACACACTCATTGTCATGCTAGGGGAGTACTAGAAGGAAAGAAGAATCCATATTTTAACAACAATTCTTTCACAGACCACTAAGGTTCTTCTTGGTACAACAATAGAAACAATGAATTTTAATTTCTTATACTTTCTTTTATGCCCAAGCTTTTAATCTAATATAAAATAAGAGAAAGAGTAAATTTATAGAGACTTAACTTAGTCCTGAATTTTTTAACATTTCCCCTAAAAAGCAATGAGTCCTACTCTCTCCTTGGACCTAGGAGGCTGATAATTACTCAGTCTCTCAGCCTTTTCCTTCCAGCCAGACTTATGTTTTGTAGGCACTTGTAACAAATTTGGGTAAATTCAGTTCAAGGTTGAATCATAACGAAAAAAGTATGAGGACTAGTCTTTGCTATCTACTAACTGTGCAAACTGGGTAAGTTGCCTAGCCTCTCTTGACTTCAGTTGCTCTACCTAGAAAATGGGTTTAATAATAGTATCTATCTTAAAAAGGTTTTGGGAGGACTGATTACATATAAAATCCTTAAAACCATGTATTTATTGAATACATAGAAAGTGCTCAGTAAATGTTAATGTTGTAGGGAAACAAAACAAAAACTAGCTGCCCCCAAGAAGATCTCATCGAAGCATTTAAAATCTTAAGAGTCCGATTTATACTTTAGCATGTAAGCCTCCTGCCCCTAATCTGTGACTCCAGTCTCAACCCACAGTCATTTCTGGGTTGCACGTGGGTCCACATTGTTGTTACCTGCTTACTTGTCAGTTTGATGAGGCTGATGAGTGATAAAAGGTGAGGCTTTCAGAAATTTGGAAAAGGCAGTTTCAAAAATGATATAGAGAGGAATAAAGAGCAATTGTTTTGATAATTATGTCAATCTACCCTTATATTCTTGGGGAATAGACTCTAACAGAAAAGTTCTAGAGCAGCCCTGTCCAGGAAAACTTTCTTCAACGATGGACCTATTCTACAGTCTATGCTGGCCAACACAGGCCACTAGCCACATGTGGCTACCGAGCACATGAAATGCAGTTAGTGTAATTTAGGAACTAAATTTTTAATGTTACTTAATTGAAATTTATTTGAATTTAAATATACACATGTAGCTAGTGGCCACCGTTTTGGACAACACAGTTCTAGATCGTCTGAGCTGTGGGGATAGGCATCCACTCGCAAATGGTAATGGTCTCTAGATGAAGACGGTTTCTAAATTAAAATGTAAATGTGGACCCCTGAATATTAAATGTTTTATTGGAAATCTGTGAGGACCAGGGCAAATGGCAATTCCTTTCAACATGCTAACAATAATTGTGCCTCATGGAAAGAGGTGGAACTGGCCCCAGGCTGCAGGGGCTTAACCAGGAATGGTGATGATCCTGGGCTGGGGGAGCATGAACTTTTTAGAAAGGTAGCAGAAAGAGGACAGACTGAAATGAATTCCAGACACGCTGAGATGGACGGCAGAAACCAGAAGAGGTACAGGTGAGTCCTAAGGTAAGGATGGATTATAGTGAGAAAGCAGGATTCCCCAGGGAAGGGCACAGAGTGACAATGGCTCAGCTGGCAGACAACTGGACCAGAAGTCATTAGGGCTCCAACCCCAAACATGCACTGTTCCTGAGTAAAGGTGGGTGATAGGCCTGGAAAAAGGGTCACTGGACCACAGGGGGAGGATTGTTAATCCTTTAACATGGGTCAAATCAAGGAAAATCCACTTGCTAATCACTTAGCCTACAGTTTTGTTTCAGTACAGGAAAGTGAAGTTACATACTTGAATTGACTCTGTATGTTGGATTATAGTGAGTACAGGGGGTTAAGAGGGGAGACTGCCAGAGAAGAGAAGGAGGATTCCTTCCTCTTAACCTTTACCCTTGATAGTGGCAGCAAACAAGCACAGCAAAAGCAAAACAAAACCCCCAAACAGTCATAGCCAAGGGCCGATGAAACAGAGCCTACCCCGACCCTGTGCCGGAATGGGAACATACTCCCATTTCAACATAAGATGCCATGCAAAGTCTCACGTTGTAAATAATGACAGCAAGCTTCAATGAACTATCCACAGCCTTCAACTCAACAGAATTATGTTTTGGTATTTGACTTTTAAGGGCAAAAACAACAAGAAAAGAAACAGATACCAAGGTTTTACTAGAAATAGAAAAAATTAGAGAGTAAGGCAAAAATGGGCACAGAAAAATTTAATCTATGCTTTCTATAGCTACTGTTATTTACAATAAGAACTGGTGATCCAATCAGTGCTGTCCAATAGAACTTTCTACGATGATGGAGATGTTCTGTGCTGTCCAGCACAAGAGCCACCAGCCACATGCAGCTACTGAGCTCTTAAAATGTAGTTAGTACAACTTAGTAACTGAAAATGTAGCTGTACTTAATTTTAATTAAATAGCACAGCTAGATAATCATTATTTTAAAACAAAGATTTTATTGAGTATCCTGTGTCAAATAACATAAAACAGCAAAAGATACTAGAGCATTTCAGAAAGGACCTCAAAGGATATGTTTTTTAGAAAAGTTTCTGGTTAAGTCACAGTTAATTCTAGATGCCATTTCATTTTATGTATATCCTAAATAATTAGGATTTTAAAAATTCTTGAATTCTTTTTTTGTAAGTATTACTCCGGTTCCTTCACATATCATGTAACATTAGTAAATGGTGTTAAAAGTATGTAATAGCCTTCATTCTAATATACACATTAAAAGCATGTATATATATAAATAGCCATATGCATATGCACATGCTCTGTTACCAAACATTTTTATTGGTTACTATTAATATCATCTCTTAACACTAGCAATTGTCAACATTTTTAAAACCTGTGATATTTCAAATGTTTCAAGCAAACCTTATAGAAAAATGATAATTTGTTACTGATTTGGTGGGAAGTTAAGAGAGCTACGTTTTCTCAGGGAGGAAACTGAGTGAAAAAATAGGTCCAACAATAGAGAAAATAAGAATCAGATTTAGTCGGAAAGGATCGAAGCCATCAGCTCCAAGCAAGACCACTCAGAAAAATGAGCAAGCATCTAGTACAGTTTAATTTCTGAGTTGTACAAATAACTGTAAAATGACATGCTGTCTTTGGTATAGTGAAACAGTTTGTATTTATGCCTGTGTGCTATTCTCGCTCCTAAGGCTGTAAACTGCTCATCTTCAGCTGCATTTAATGAAACTACTTCGAATAAATAAAATTAGGGGAAATCATGAAATTTCTAGGAAAACTCACAGAATGAGCAAGCAAAAAGAAATTTTTGCTATTGAATACTATCCTTCAAAGTAGTGGAGAGGTGGCTTATAATTTTCCAGAAGTAAAGGAAGAGTAGGTGTTAAATGGAGTATCATATTTAGAGACATAAAATATTCATGGTGTACTGTACTGAGACCACACTTGAATGTTTCTATTGTACTGCTGCATCAATATGCCATGACATATTGTGCCAAAATGCTGTGATATCAGGTTGCCCTGTTTCAAAACTATTCGGAGTCTAGTTCTCCTCAATTAGATGACAAAATGGCTCTTACAAAGCTGTCATCAGCATTACTGCTTGGTTTAGCAAAAAATACAACACCTAAAGATATTATTTTAAACATATACCTACTTATTTTACCTTTTAATGCAAAATATATTTTGAGATAATATGCCTTGGGATGAACTTGTGATTTTTTTAACTTATTATACTGAGTTCAGGTACCATAAAATCCATCAGAGATATCCATTAACAAAGATATCTTTGAACAGTGTGTATAAATTCCTGTTTATACATGTCAAGAACACTTTAGATCTCACTATATTTCTATGTCTAAGCATCTATCTATATACTACTTTATTTTCTTAGTGAGAAAAAATAAAGAATAGCTCCTCTACTCTGAGCTAAAGTGAAATAAATTTAGTGTGTGTGACTACATAAAAAAATTGGGGCCGATGTGATTTCTTCACCGTAGCAGAAAATGACAAAGGGGAGGGAGGGGGATAGGAGATATCTACTGCCTTGTTTGTAATTCCTACTTGATGCCATGACTTTACTGTCATGACTACTCAACTGATTAAAGTTCAATACCATGGGAAAATATTTTTCTAAATTAATTCAGGAAATAAGATCAAGCACTTTCTTTACTTGAAGAGGGCATGAAAAACTATTTTTTGTATTCTGTACTTTTAAAAACAAACATTTTACAGTTTGAACACTAGGGGGCATCTTTGTTACTTGAAATAAAGGGCCTTGTTTGTAATCCAAAAAAAAAAAAAAAAAAGCTGAGTAGTGAAACATTTTCTGATTCATATTTTGTTTTGTTAAGCATGTTGGCACTGTAAGGTTTATGGCTTTGGGTTGGGCATTTTTGTTTCTATATTAATTAAGTAGCATGTGTGAGGTGACTAGGACAGTATCTGGTATGTATATAATAAGTACTCAATTGATTCACTTCCTTTCTAGGCCTCCTTCTCTGGTTTAACGTCAAGGTAAAGACTGAGAAATCCTCAAATGACAGACTGCTCAAAAATATGTGTATTTCAGAGTTATGTGTAGTGAAAAACATTAGAATTTGCAAGTTCATTTACTGGAAAATGTTTTCTTTTTAATTCATAAATAGTTCTGCTTTTCTTTGATTACAGAAAAGCTAATTAATTGGGCATAGCTAGCTTATTTACTTCTTTAAAGTCTTACATTTGTCAGCACTGAATCTCTTTTGTTTTTCTTCCTCTCTCCTCTCATTGTCTGATCTTATAAAAGTCTAAACAAAAATGTGTGGTAATACAAGAGAGAAAGCCACAGATAACAGCGACATCACTCGTAACAAGTCAGTTCTCCTCACTAGCCAGACGATGGCCAGTGGGAAGGCTGTCCTGCCCTCCAGGGCAGTGGTGCAGTTTCTCAGGCCACCAACCAGTTATTTTTCCTTTTGTGACTTTTCTGGTGGGGACAGGAAGGAAGGAGGGAGGAGAGAGGTGGGAGTTTCTGTTTTCTGCTAATTCTGCCAAAAGTCTGGCGTTGAACCTCCTTCTTGGGTTCACGGGCAGTGAGGCTGGTCAGGAGTCAGGGGTGGAAGCTGGTCTCTTTTCTAAATGCACTTACTCAAAAAAGGATCTGCTGTTTTGCATGTGCATAGTCTGAGATTAAAGGGTGTGGTTGGTGCTTATTCTGTGCAAATAAGTTCTTCAAGTCCTGTTTTATCTCATTCTTTGCCCCCATGAAGAGCTTTCTGATGCCAGTTCTGAAATGTACCCCATTTCCAACTGTTAAACAAGGCGGCAGTCGCCAATGACAAATCTGGGAAGGAGGGAGAGGGGAGAGTTCCTCCTGTCCCTGTCCATACCGTTAAAGTCATATGGAACGGTTTTCAAAAACAATGTTTCCAACCCAACATTAATCATTTTCTCTTACTTTTAAAATACATGGCTCATATCTATTATAGCACTCATTAATCTGACATATTTTAGTTATGTAAGCATCTATTTTTCCTACTGGACTGTTGTCTTTGAGGGTAGGTATGTGTTATATTTATTTCAGAATATATTGTCTTTAACCTAGTGCTTTACATTTAGCAGGCTCAGTAAATGTTACACTGAATTATCATATACTTCTCTGAATTATACCATTTTATTGCTGTGAAAATTAGCAAAAAAAGAAATAAGTGTCTCTAATTAAATAAAAGTGAACACAGGGAAACTAACTAATTTGTCCATAGTCCTGAAGCAAACCAGTGAAAGAACTAGGATCTAAAAAACAATTCTCCTGATCCTAACCACTATGATTTAAACTAGGGAACTCCTCATGTTTTTCTCATCACTGACCAGCTGAGCTTTTGATTTTTTATGTGAATTTTAACATATATCTTCTTTGTCCTTACTGGTCATATATATCCTGCAAATACACTAACGAGCAGCATACTTTTATTTCTGGTTTTAACAGAAATAAAGTCTAAAAACTGGGGAAGTCTTGTCCTGTGCAGAGGTCCTAGGTGGATACTAAGAAGTAAAAGAATCCACAGAACACTCAATCTTGGGTTCCATTTTGGGAAGCGCCCACTCTGTGCAAAAGTAGACATGCTATTAGCTACTGCTTCAAATTCTGATAAAGGTTGAGTGAGGCAAAATGAGGGTAGTTTGCCTTCTGATTCTGTCTGTAGTTTGGCAGATTCTCCAAAATAAATTTTAATGATGGCATGAATCCTATGAAGATGAAATTTGTTTGGGTTTTGGAATTTAGACATTTTAGTAACATAAAAACTTATAAAAATTATCAAATAGGCAACTCGTTTCCAGTTTGCTCCTTTACAGTGGATGCGTTCTATGAGAAAATTAGTATTATGGTTTTTGCAACTAAGTATACAGGAGTAAAAAAGAAAAAGTTTGTCTTTTAAAAATTTTTTCAAAGAAATTCTACTTAAAGGTTCTTTTAACTTTTAAAAGATCAACCGATTGAACTCTAAGATAACGGCAGTATTAATGGCTTTATGCCCTCATTCTAATAGAAGAACTTCAGAAATAAAATCTGTATATAATAATATAGTCAAGGGAATACTTACACTTTCACTCTGAAAAGGATTTAAGAAATTTCCCCCCATTTCGCCATCATCCCTTGGAGTGCCCGGTTGATTACTCAGGCTCATATTATTGGGAGAATTCTGTAAACAAGATTTAAAAAACAAGGCGTTGTTGAAGATTTTAATTTCCCTCTTGCATTGTACTATTTCAAAAATTGAATCTATAGCATCATCTCTAAGGACAAAGCATACTTATAATTTTAATCTTAGACTTCTACCATGTGTTCTAGTTCATTCTTTGTACTTTGACAAGTACTAATGCGTTCCCAAATGAAAATTTAAAAATAAACAAAAACACACAAAATAACCTACCACAACTATTTTCTTAGTCTCAGAATCAATATTTATTCAATTTCTTACCCTCAGGTTATAGAGTTCCTAGAACTCCGGAGGGTTTAAAAAACATTCCCAGCAGGGGTGTGATGAAGTAATCCTACCCACTGATAAGGCATGATGGAACAATAACTCCCTTAGTGATTCACTCATCAGACTTTAAAAGGTCACAGTTTTAATGAACATTTCCCTTTAGTTTTACATGCAGTTTACACATAACACTATTTCAACTATTTTTTTTATATGGACCATAAGAAAGAAAGGAAGACAGTTAACAACTTTAGTTAAGAACAAGAGAGATTGCTTAGGACTTGAGAATTCTTTATGTACTCTAGAGGAAAAGGGGGCTCAAAAATAAACTGCTTTAGAATATCTTCCTATCCTTAGTTTAAGAGCAGATTTACTTTTCAGATAAAATGGCTGCTGTTAGCAATCTAAGCAGATACTAAGTTAGTAGCACACTGCTTCGTATTCTATTTAAATTTGCTAGTCTCATTATTACTGTGCAATTTTAGCCGTGTCAGTATATCTGATATTCCACGATGATAAGAAATACAGAATGATATGGGCATATAAAGCAAGTTTACACAGTATCACGACTGTGACTGAGGGTTCCCTTTCAAGGTCCAATTTATTGACTTGTTAAAAAAAAACTTCAGGGTTAAACATTTTTATTTGTTATTTCAAATGGAAGAAAGATTTTAGATTGTTTCCCTAAGTCAATGCTATTTATATTGTTTTGGAATAAGTTTTTGGATTTTTTAAAGAAAATTGCTCAGAGGATTTTGACTTAGCTACAAGTTATTTCATAAGCATTAAAATTTCATGAGTGAGTTATTCCCAAAAGAATGTGTGCTTTTTAAGAATATGGTTAAGCTGTAAAGCAGAGACAGGTAGATGAGCTGGTGGAAATACACTTGTATCTTGTCTTGCTGTGCAACCCACAGGGAGGATCTGAGAAAAAGGAACCTCTGAAGTCCATAGGAGTTCTATATGCCAATAAACCCCAAGGACTCAGGAACCATACTTTAATAGCATAAAGAGGATTCTACATTTTTTTGATAAATTTTTCTCTCAAAATGTTAGTTTCCTAAGTATATAAAAAAGCAACTCCACTTTGATATGAACATGAATATCTTGATTTCCTGGAAAAAAAAATTCAAGTAAAATTGAACTAAGTGCACTATTTTATAATTCATTGATTATTAGAATTATTAATTAAATAAACTGTTTTTTGAAAACAGAAATGACAGTGGTAACTGAGCTCAAAAAGGAAACTGAATTTATAAAAAAAAAATTATAAGATTTACCCCAAATCTATAAGTCCTTTTGGTCAATGCAGACTTCTATCATTTTATATATAATGGAGAGATTGGTAATATCAGAATAAAACATAATCTAACATATACATAAGAAAATTTAAGGATGTACTTGGAAGCTGTATATTTTATATAGTCAAATAAAAGAACAAAATGAGCCCTGTTCATTCTTGTGTAACATTCTCACCCCCTGTAGTATATGGGTGCCTTGAGAGAAACAGTGTATCTCTGACTCAGTTGGGGTTCTTTAAATCTCTCCTGCACTTTTGCCATATATCATTTCTTGATTTATAATTCTGGAAGTTTAGCTAACTTAAAATCTGATTCCTGACTCGTAGTGTGGATTTTAAAATATTTAGAATTTGAAAGTAACAATGCATTGGTAATATTAAAATACTTTCAGTGTTACTATTTGTGCTTTCCATGCAATCTCTTCATAGCATGGTGGCTCAGCATTACATGCTTTATTTATTTATTTTTTTGGTCGTGGTGGGATATTTAAGGACTTTGAGAGGAAGATTAAAAGGACACATTCAACATACAAAACTGAGATAATATCAGATCTCTGAAATTTATTCCTATCCAGCTTACTGGACTGTATTTGAAAAGCTCAGAGTGATAGGACAATATTTTTTTACCTTGAGTAATCTTTGCAAAATATGAAAACAACAAAAGCTCTTCAATGGAGAGTCTCACGGAAATTGTGCTGTCCATAACCACTGAGTGACATGACGATGATACAGGCTGAAGAGCAAGCTAAATATTGGTATCTGAGAAACAGCAAAGACAGCGGTACCACAAGCCAGCCCAGAATGGGCTATGAAGGTGGGTGTCAAGGAACTGTGTGTATGCTTCATGTAACGGCAGCTACATGTGTGTATAATGTCTCCAGCAGATTTTATCATCAAGGCAAGAATATAATGTACAAAAAGGATTTAGGTGGTCAAAAAGAAACTCAAATTGCATGAGCACATAATAAGGGAATAAGGAATATAAAAGAATATAAGAGTCCTTTTAGCTATATTAGGCATGTTGGTTACATTTCTTATTTCAGTTAATGTGTATTTTATTCCCTACTTTAAGAATTTAGCTTGAAAAAATATAGTTAGGATTATATGGATTCCATCTTTAAGGGATTTTATTATATTCTCATTTACCTTTTCCTCTAGCTGGAAAGTTTTTAAGCTATAATATCATACATGAATTATACACACACACACACACACACACACACACACACACAAACATACACAATACACCACACCCACAATTTCCTCTGGCTGCCATGTTTAACTCTTTTAGACTCCCTGGTCTCTGATTTTATCTTGTAAGTATTCTTCTATATCTTCTCTTAATTTGTAAGTTATTGTCCCTTCTTCCATCGTCAGAAATTGTTCCAAACTATTAAAATTCTAAATTTTTAAAATTTCAAATTAAAAAAGTAACACTTGTAGAAAATTTGGTTCTGCTTATAATTAGAATAAAATAACATTATTCTAAGCCCTTTGGTAGTGGCTTTTGAATTGATTTCTCACAGGCTGCCAATAATGAGTTTTATAGAGTATTGTTTTGACTCTGCAAGCCTCCCAAAACTGCAAACTGCCAGTTGCTCTCCCAATGGGTATAACTGAGCTGGAACTCAGGCCAGCACACCTGAGATGATGGCAGAGACCTACAGTTTTCAGTCAGCTCCCTTGGGAACAGTGTGGGATCTCTAACTGGAACTAAGGTTCTTGAGGTCAGAAAGCTTCAGGTTGAAAAGATTCCTGTGATAATTTATTAAACATGATATGATCAAGTCTTGCCCTCTCATAAGATATTTTTTAAAAACTCAAAAATATAAATGTGAAATATCTTAACGTGAACTGCAGAATTTCTTTAGTTGCTTTCCTTCTAAGAAAACAAACAATATGCTTTTCTTCATCCCCAATCCCTAAAACAACTCCAAAGAAAAATATTTTTGTTCCATTGATTAAATAGGTGACTCCTAAGTTGAAAAAGAGACGAAAGGAATTTCACATTTCATTAAAAAAGGCTTCTAAATTAAAGATAAATTCTGCATTTTGAGAAAGATGTATATGAGTTTTACTAGGTAATCCTTAACTGAGCAAGAAATAATTCTGAAACTTCATTTGAAACTTGGATGCATTTTGCCACTGAAACAGTGCTGTTAAAGTGCAATTGATGGAGTTCCTAGCCTTGCCCACAAAAGACTGCGTAACTAATGAGAAGGAAGATATTTACAATGTCTGTGGTACTTCATATCCCTTAGCATATGTATGTTCACACTGGGTTCCAAACAATTTTCTGAAATAGCCAGGGAATAAACTACAAGGTCTAGTTTATAGCTAAGGAAACTAAGCCTATGAGGGATTAAGTCACATGTTCCCACAACTTTTATTTCTTTCTTTTTTCCTTTCTCTTTTCTTTCTTGACAGAGTCTTGCTCTGTTGCCCAGGCTAGAGTGCTGGGGTGTTAGCCTAGCTCACAGCAACCTCATGCTCCCACAATTTTTAAGTACTGTAGTAGAACCAGGGTTTCTGATTCACAATTCAGTACTCTTTATCTATCTTACACATAAAATAGATAAAATAGAATATATACTTTATACAATAAAAAAGTAGAAAAAGAATTGAAGTACTAATAAATGATATTTAAAAATAGAGTAAGAAGTTTAAAAAAAATATGCAATACTGGTGCTTGACAAAATACAACTTTAACTGGAGAACTGGGAAAAATGTAGCTAGAAACCTAAGAGGAATTTTGAACAAAATTACTAAGCAGTAATGGTTGTCTTTTGATTCACAAACAAGAATAACTAGAAAAAAATAGGATGAAAACGAATGAGCCCAGGAAAAAGAAAAGGGAGGAGAAATAATCTTGAGATAGCTGGACATGTGTTGGAAAAGGAAGCAAGGTGGGATGTGGAGGCAGTGACTGCATACCTGAGAGTCAAAGACTGAAAAATTAGTCCGTGAGTGGAAAGAGGCAGGGAGAAAAAGGACTGGGGAGGGTGGTATACAACACACATGCTGCTGCTGCTGGGAGAAAAAGTGGCTATAGAGCAAAAAACAGCAGTGCTACCATCGCCCAGGGGAGCCAGGTTAGAACCCAGAGCCAATGGACCCACAGCGGGGGCAGTGTAGAAATAAGCCATGTAGGAACTCAGTAGAAGGCAGCTACAACTAGTCAATGCCAGTACATTGTTAAGTGGCACTTGTGTATCACTTGCAGGATAAATCTTACGTTAATTTATATATGAACTTTGCTTTGTAAAAGTGTTTCCTTATCATATTTGTTTGGTCTCCTCAGTTACACTGCAGTTCTTGAGGGTGAAGACCGTATCTTATTTATCTCTGGACTTTGAGAGCCCAGCATAATGCCTTGGTGCATTAAGGTTTACTGAATGAAGGAACTCTTGCCCAAGCAGAAACCAGTTGAGGGCAGAGAACATGTTTGTAGTTAATGTTTGTAGTTAAAGAAGTCTTTTTTATCCCTCTGTAGTGCACAAGGCAATACCCAGCACACAAAAGTACACAATGGGTGGTCAATTAACGCGTAGAGAATAAGCAATACATCATCAGGCAAGAGAATGTTGTACGCAGTGGGCATAGTATAGTGGGAAAACCTTGTATCCGAGAATAGGAATGGGAGAATGAGCACAGAAGGAATAGCAATAGATCTGACATGAGGGCAGATTAAAAGGTGGCATTTAATTCACTGTGACTCTATTTACAATTTTTAAAGTGCTTTATAAATTACATAGTATTTGCCTATATAGAATTTTGTTTACATCTATCTAATGTACAAGGGTATAGGTTGTTAGTGAAAATTTTAAGATGGCTTAAAGCAATCTGATCCCACTTTTGTGTAATTAAGGGTCATCTCTAGATATGAGAACATGCTTCTCAACTATGACATTAGAAGTTTCACTGGTGACCACTAAGTACAATTCAGCTAACTCAATTTTTAGAAACACCTGAGATAGCCAATGCAATTATGGTTATCTGACTTGCAAAGGTGTTTCTAAGAGAGAAGGCTCTGATAAAGTTATACGGGAAATGCTATTTTGAAAACAGGCTTTATGAATACTATTTCACAGAGGTAAACTAGTGCCCATTATAAATATGTATGCATTTTTAGAAAAGAAAAAGATCTTTCTGATTATTGCTAAACACAGACATGCAAAGTGCCTGTAAAATTTGTGAGGCCAAGCAGCTATACCTATTACAAGTATAATGCCAGAATACCAATTATACTGTTTTTTTTTAGCTTGAAGTCTTAATTTAAAATGTTTTGTAGCTCAATCTTATTTTATTTTTCTTGGCATCAGGAATTTTACATTATTACACATGAATATAAATTAGAAATAGAATTAAAAACAAAGTCATTCTTTAACGAATTTCTCTATTTACTGATACAAAGCGGATGTCTAAGAAAGTCCTTCTGGTGGCAGGTAACAATTAGTTCTTATCAATCATTCTAAATATATTTACTTGTAGAGAATTATTTTAAATTGATCATGACCTGAAAAGTATTTAAGCATTATTCTTCAAAAAATATAAGGCATTTAAGGAAAGGATTAATTTTAGATATTACTACAAAAGGAGGAAAAATGCAGACACATACTAATAGAAGTTTCACTTTCCTACTTGTACTAATGAAATTTTTCTCTAATTACTTTCTTACTTTATTTTGGGGACTAGAGTAATAACTGTGGAAATCAACATTGCCTAATGAAGGTTTGAAAGACCAATTGGATGTATAAATGCAATGTGCTTATGACATACAATAACTACTTTTTGAAATTTACCTCTCCTCACATTGCTTTAGACAGCTTTAAATTTTCAAGAGTATCTAAACTCTGTCACTTTGTTTTATAAATATGTAACATCATAACATGATTGAACTGGTTATAACTGATATCAATTAATAATGTATAATATGTCCTATGAATGAATCTTAGCATGTTTAGGAACATTCTTAAAAGGCTTATTTTACCCTTTCCTACAGATCATATACATTAATATTTTTAACTTCCAATTAATTATACCTAGCTTTCTACTTTCAAACTATTGTTCAAGAACAGAATTCATAAAGTTACTCTAACAATTTTAATGAGAGTTCCACGAGAAATAAAATACAGATTAAAAACAACACAGAGGATACACAGTACTCACCTTGGAAATACTGTCCATATCTCCTGAGCCTGAAGCAAAATATGAAAAGAAAGCCTTATTAGTATTTCAATTAGAAATTAAGTACTACTTTAATTGAAATAAATGCAGTACACTACATGTATTTTCCAGTGTGTAGCTCCTGAGCTTTTAATCTTAAAAAATCCTTATTCCTTTATACTGTAGAGTGAATTAGTATCATCTGATGGCAAATGTAAGGAATTCTACCTCTAGTTCCCATTTATTTTTTCTTAATACAAGAATAAATAAAATCATGGTTATTACAGATTCCTGAATGCGAAATATTAGAAAGATCATTTGTATATCCTACCCAATTAAAATTTAAAAAAAATATATATAATATATATAAAGATCTCCACATATATTTTCTGAAAATGATACTGTAAATCTGATAAAATATAAAATGAATACTTGTAACAATATTTGACAATATTCTGAGCCATTTTTATCATAATAACCCAAAGCAAAGTATTCTTAATAATATTAAAAAGTTGACAGTAATCAATATTTATGGCAATCCATCAGAACTAAAAATGTCTTCAAAATATATTTTTATTTTGATTCTTGGGAGAAATGAACAGTCGATATTAATTTTTCTTGTGTAAGAAACAGTAGAATCATACATCAGGTAACAAAGAACAATAATCAGATCTTTGCCACAATATTAGCTTTATTTTAAACTATTTTAAATAATTAATTTTCCTAGAATAAACATATTATAACATCATAACAGTACAGTATTCAGTTAACATCACAAATAAAGTTAGGGCTTATTAACATGATTAATTTACAAGTAAATAACAAATTCTTAAATACTGAACACATATATGCAATCATAAATATATATAAAAATGTGTACTGTAATAACGTTCAGTATAGAAAGTAATGAAGTAGATGCCAAGCGTATGTGAAACTCTTCTGAAAATCTGTTCCAGTGAATAACTGAGAGCATTCTAACTATGGCCAAATGGTATCTTTTTGTAAATAATTCTACAAATAAAAGACTGGAGAGTGAATTATTTTGCAATAAATTGGAAAATAAAACTCTAGCCTGGTGTTGTCCAACAGAACTTTGTGTGACGATGGAAATGTTTCTGTGATGTCTGTTAAGGTAGCCGTTAGCGACACGTGGCTGCCGTGCACCTGATATGTGGCAATGCAACTGAAGAACCGAATTCTAAATTTTATTTAATTTAAAATTAAATAGCCACACCTGGCTAGAGGCTAATGTAATTGGACAACACAAATCGAGACTTTGAAACCTAGTCAAATAAGATGGATCCTTAAAAGCACTTAAGTCTCTTAACGTGCTGTGAATAATCTGCAAATAATTTCTTGATTATTGAAGTTATATAGATTTTTGGGGTACCAGAGGGGGGCATTTCCTAACGTTGGGAGGGGGAGTGAAATCTGTACATAACCTAAATTACTCATGGGTATATTTTCTCCAATTTCAGTAAAAGATGAACCCTTTCCAAAAGAAAAAAAATTATCACAATCCCCCCACCCCCATTGTCAACTTTTAAGTTAGTTTATGATGTTACTTAAACATATTCAAACATAAAATGTCTTTTTTTCGGTTTTACATTTGGCCTGCCTATAAATATAGTGTGCTGTGTGATCTAGTCAATTTTGTACCACTTGTCTTTATTTCTCACTGTTGTACGACTTTTTATTCACCTTGCAAATATTTGGCTTCATTTACTAACAACGCATCATTTATGAAGTATTTTTGTAACCATTAGTCACATACTAGAAATGATCTTTATCATGAAGACAACGCAGGTAGTGTTCTCTCATAAGAGAATTATTCAGAATATGATTATCAATTTTATTTCAAAAAGGAGATGAACATTAAAATACAAAAACAAAAATTAAAAAATTCTTGCAGAGAACTGAAGTTCTTTTGAGACTGTGTCCATAGACTTCTGGAAACAAACTAGCTGGAAGAGTCCTGCAGTCCTCCAGGTTATGCATGTGTGATACATGCCCAAAGCAGCAATGTCTCCTTTTATCATAAAACACCAGGTTTTGATAGGTTAAAGTAAATACTTGTGAATATGAGCTAGAACAATTCTCACACTTCTGATTTTCAAATAACCTCTAGTTATAATAACCAATATACTATAGATTAAACTGTCAGTTTGATGTAAAAGTTGAAGCATTTTGAAATGAGCATGTAGAAGTTGAAGCATTTCATAATATCCACTATATAGAATTAAGATTTTGTTTTGAATATACTCTAAGCATCAAATTTAAAATCCTTACCTAAAGAGCCATTCATGTGATGTGATTCCATTCCTCCTAATCCACCCATGGGGCCATCTGATCCAGGGCCCATTGGAAACTATTTTAAAAATGAAGAAAATTACTGTAATCATGCTGAAAACAATTGCTTATCTCAATGTTACAATATCCATATTTAATGTTATAAGACACAGCCATAACTTATTTCCATTTTCAAGTTATGGAAATTTTTTACTTGATTTTCTTCAGCCTTATAGATTCTCTAACCGGACTGCCCCAATTCTCTCATTTCATCTTCTGTATGTTCTAAATATTTACATTAATCTTCGCTCATGTCCACATTTTTCTTCTTCAGATATCGTAAACTAGTGCAAATGAGATGAGCATTCTCTTCTATGATAATGACAGATTTTATATTAAAACCCAAAGGTAGTTCTTAAGAAGCTGCTAAAGCCATTGGTTAATTAATAAGAATTATTCAACATCATTATGCCAACATTAACATTTTTCTTAACAATCTATCTTTGTTCAAATTGACATAATAAATAATTTCATCTTATAGGTTAAATACATTTATCTCCTTAGGGATAGCTGAATATAGTTAATTCTTGGCAGTCTCAACTATGTCAGTTCAATAATAGACATTCTACAGCAGTTCTATTTAACATTTTTTTTTAAAGTAGCGGAATTCTTTTTGTTTTCTTTCTTTTTTTTTTAGGTGAAATCTTACATTAGAAGCCTGGTACAAGCTAGATGTGACTAGTATGTGCTATGATAGAGCTGGTGATGGAGAGCCCATGGCCTGAATACTGAGAAAATCTGCAGCCCAGTTTGAAGACAAGTTATCTATAATTACCTTACATTTACAGTTAAGACAACTGAGTGAAACACTTTCTCTTAAAATTTCCCAAACTAAAGTATTTCTACCATGTTGTATGGTGCAGAATACTGAATGTGGTGTGTGTGTGTGTGTGTGTGTGTGTGTGTGCAGATGGAGTGGTGGTGGTTATTAATCATGACGGCTTTTGGGGAAAAATACCTGCCAACCCTGGAAGTGATGGGCTTCCATCACTGTGAGCATACAAACCACGTGCTTGTAAGTTTTCCAGGAGAATGCCATTTTTTGCTTCATAAAATTGAGGATCTAAAAGCACATGGATCAATTTTCAGTAAATAACCTGGAATCTACATAAATGCCTCACGGATAAGTCAAAGAGGTTGACTTTGAACTTACTATTGTTATTTGGCTTTTATCAAAAGCATAGTTTAGATCTGGACTGAGAAACTGGTGCTGATAAGCCCAACAGCCTGTGAACTTACTTGGTTTGGGCCTTTTATCTGGCCCCCACAGTGTTTTAAAGACACTAAAACTACAGGCATGTTTGGCCAGTTTAGCACGTAACATACATACCTTCTGATTTTTGTTTGATTTCAGCTACCCTATATACATACCTATATGTGTATTAACTATAATCTGTTATAAATATTTTTGTTAACATGTAGGCCTTATATCATAAAAAAATAAAATATTTTCCTGTGAGCTTTTGTGAAAAAATCATGACCATATACTTTACTAAGAACACCCAAATTCTTCCCGTATAACTACGTCAACTCTGTATTTTAACCGTAGATTTCATATTCTAAAGAAAAACCACCATATTTAACTTCCCAATTTATTTTCAAGTTCATGAGAATTAAAAAAAGATCACAATGAAGAAAATTTAGTGATGTTAAAAATGAGGTTAACATAAATGATTATACATAACCTGTCATTTTCAAGTAGTCAGTAAAATTATTAAGTATTTGAGATAAAATGACACCAAGATTCTATAATTGGTTCAGTTTTACATTTAAATTATATCAATATAAAGTATCTGGTATATGTTATGCATTGTTTTTTTAATGCAGAGCATAGAAATAATTTGATTTTTCTGATATTCAGTAAGCTCCTGGCTAATAAAATATGATGTTTAAATAATATCCAGGAAATGGAATATACTCAGAGTTTGAAAGTCTTCAAATACATCCCCAAAATAAAAAAAAAATCATATTTACATTAGGCCTGTTAGGTCCAGGAGGTACTGCATTCATTAAAGTATACATGTTATCTCCAGAGTTGGTTGAATCTGAAACAAAATATTACTTAATTAACATCCTTCTCTAGAATCTATATCCAAGTCATCATGAAGTAATAATCAAAGATGATCTGGATACATACACATATTGATAGCTGCAACACTTGAAATTGTCATTATTAATGTTCAGAAACAAATACCTGGCAGTCATTTTCTGACTCAAAAATTATCATTCTGAGTTCATAACTTAGGCATTCAAGAGGAATAATCACTTCAATCATTCAGGCAAAAGAAATATTACTTTAAAAGTCTAAAAATTACAGTCAAGTTTTTCCTTTTTAAAGAACAGATACTTTTTGACTTCTCTAAGCAATTATGCGTACACATATAACAAAAATCTCTTAATTTCAGATTCAGTAATGTTTCAGTTTTCACTATTTTCTGAGGTTTTCTATATACAAATTTAAAAACTAGTTTTTTAGTTAATAATTTTTACTGAAAAATAGTTTTCTTAGTGAAAGCTGGTGAAATATCCCAGCTTACTCCCAAAAGAAAGAGCTTAGAGCAAGACTATACAATTGAAATGAAAATTCTCTTTCTTGAACTAAATAACAGCTTCCTCCAGCACAACTTTTCATAATTTTTTCACTCATTTTATTCTTGATATGTTAAAATATCTGTAGTGTATATTCATATATACAACATTATATAGTATTAAAAAACTTACACTTCATGCCTATTAGCTAATTCTAATTAAGTCTTGGAGCATATGTGCTTTTATAACGTAAAATCTAGAATGAAAGGCTAAATATTTACTTGAGGAAATATCAGTTATGAAATATGGCTTTCTGTTTTTTCACATTATACAGTTTTCTTAAATATAATGTAGCAGGCCTCTCTATTTTTAAAATAAATAAATATATTTCAAAATTTTTGTACTGATTCAAGACAGGAGGTAAAAATCTTCGCTTTCTTATGGAAGTAACCACAGAGTGGGAAATGGGCAATTACTTTTCCTCTTACTGTGTGATTACTTATCAGATGTCCATCAGTTTACTATTTTAGTGTGTACCACCTTACAGAGTAGGTGTGATATCATTTATTGGTTGTTTGCCAACAGTGATCCATAAATCTAAATATTATATTTTACATCAAAATGTCAAAAGGGTTAGAATGCCTATCTAAACTTATTTGTAAGTTTATATTACGTAAGGTTCTAACCTACTTTTGTGACCTTAACTCTTTTTACATCCTTATGTATGCTATATTATTGTCAACCCAGGCTACTTGTTTTTTCCTGCATATGACCAATCTTTCTATCTCCGTATTTTTGTTCTTCCTCCAAACATCTTTTCAATCTCCACATACAGAAACTCTACTGACTACTGAAGGACCCTTTAAATGTTCACTATCCCATGACAGTTTTTTCTGGTAGTTCCAAGTGCAGGAGTGCTCCCCTGACCCCCAGCTGAGTTCTGCCTTGCATTGTAGTTAATGTTCTATTGTCTTATTCTCTCCTGCTTCTAGCTAGGATATGTCTGACTTCTTTTTATGCACAGAAAAACTTTACAATAAAGTGGATCTTCTGGCACCTATTTTGAGGGGGGTGGTGCTGGCTTCATGTTAGAGCAGTGACTGAGACAAGGATGAGTATGTGAAAGAGTAGGCAAAAAGACTAGGAAGATACACTGGTGGCAATTTCTGGCTTGAAAGGAAGAAGCGATATGATTATTTATCACCTGCAATGTTCATTGTTACTATAAAATTTTTTTAGTCTTGCAGTGAAGTATTTATTAATCACATGCTACCTTCATAAATTAAACATTAACTTCACCATATAAGAATGTAAATGTGGACAAGATGATCAGTTCACATAATTCTATGAGGTTATGAAGTATGAAATGTCTGATTTCCTTAAAGTACCAAGTTTGACAGTTGATATCTCTGACATTTCACTTTGACATTTCTTTTTTTATTTTTATTGTGAAGGTATATCCCCAGTCTTTCAAACACATGGTTTGGCTTGTGATTATCTTTCAAAGTTTTTTTTTAGAGCAATTTTTTGTATGAGTAAGTTAAAAATTCATGTTATTTTTTAATATGAGTTCCGTCGTGGAACCAATGCAACACAGACAGCTCAAAATATCAACGAAGTGTTTATGCATAAAGGCAGACCATTTCTACACCATATTGTTATGTGTGATAAAAAATGGATTCTTTTTGACAATTTCAAATGTTTGGCACGATGGTTGGATAAAAATGAAGTGCTGAAACACAGTCCAAAACCAATATTTATTAAAAAAAGCTACTGGTTTGCTGGTCCGGCACTGGTATTATCCACTACAGCTTCATGAAACCTGGTCAGTCGCTTACAGCGGATGTCCACTGCAACCAACTGGACAAAGTGATGAGGATGTGTGCGATTAAGTAGCTAAGGTTGGTCAATAGAGACAAGCTAATCCTCTTGCAAGACAACATTCGACCACATGTCGCACAAACGATGCCACTCAAACTACTTAGGCTGGACTTAGAAACTCTCTGTCATCTACCATATTCACTAGACTTTGCGCCAAGTGACTACCACTTCTTCTAGGCTTTGGGCCACTCCTTGCAAAGAAAAATATTCCATTCTTAACAAGCTGTGGAAAACACCTTTTGTGATTGCCACTTGCTCTCCAGGCTTCTTCACTGCTGGTATAAACAAGCTACCATTAAGATGGCAAAACTGTGTTGATAGTTTAGGAGCAAACTTTGACCAACTGTATTGCTTCCTGTTTGAGATATAATAAACTAAACGTTTGATTCGAAAGGAGACATTTCATATTTAGTGATCTAATATCTTCAATGAATTGTTTCATTTTCAATGAAGATGCTTTCAGAACAGAGATCACGAAATATTTCTGGATACAGCCCAAAGAGTTAGTGAAGCAAAGTAAAATTTTGTATTAATTATCAAATTTATGATTTTTCTAAATAAAAAGCTTAAAATTAAAAATTATT